ATAATTAAGATCTTGACGAAACATTTAAACATTCGTAAAATCGATACTTAATTCGACCAATACTGACACCATGAACTACCGTCAGATGTACGTAGAAAATTTTGTAGATGGGATAGGAGTTTTCATAACGTGATGCGGTCAATGCTATAGGAGTGTGTATTTTGGGTTGATTTGTGTTTAGTATCATCTTTTGTCTTGTTTGCAATATTGTTTATGGGGTTGATTCAGTGAGGGTCCATTCATTTAATAGCTAATAATCAGATGAAATTATAGTGCAATGGTAACAGCGCCGAAAGTTAAGAGGCATACGGTACAAAAACGGAGCAAGAAATGGGACACTGGAAAGACAAAGAAGAAGAAGAAGCAAACGGTAAAATACAACATCGAGTGTAAAAATCCCGTAGAAGATGGTATTATGAATGTGAACGATTTTGTGAGTCTTTTAGATTTTTTTAAAATTTGTTAGAAATTAAATTTGTGAAAGTGATGGCCGTGTTTGCCTCATCTTTTCTGATGTTGCAGTTCTAATAAAGTTCTGTAGCCTTGGGGGATGAAGGAAAATTGAATAAGCCGTCTTGCACATCTCATTTCAGCCTAAAATGCTTCGATGAGTCTACGGGACGGTCACAGATTTCTTTAAATCGAATTCCAGGATATGTTTTTGCATTTTCATGTGGAATAACATCATCTACCATAGTTTGGCTACTTCTTTGTGTCGTAATTCGTATAGTAGTCATTTTCTGGAATTATTTGATGGTAGATGGTAGAGTTATTTTTTGTTTCTGTATGTTGAAGACATCAGGCATAGGGTAAAATGTGCAATGGGAATGCTTGATAGCTTCCGCTGCATGTTGCAGTCCCTTAGTGAGACCCGATGTCTTGATTACAGGGGACATTTCTGAATGAACGCATCAAAGTGAATGGAAAAATTGGTACTATGGCAGCAAATGGTGTGAGACTGGAAGTTGCAAAGACGAAGCTTATCCTTACATCCGAGGCAAGCTTCCATGAATCAGTTTGCAGTTTGTAAATTTCACTTTGAGAATAAGCCATTTGTTAAAAGACTGATATAAGACTAATATACGTAAAGCTAATATAAACATTGTTTTTATGAACATAATTTTAGCTGGTTTTCAAACGTTAAAGTTATGCAAGCATTCATTTCCAGGTTCCATTTTCGAAGCGATATCTGAAATATCTTACCAAGAAGTACTTGAAACGCAACTCACTTCGTGACTGGTTAAGAGTAGTAGCTTCTTCGAAGGATACATATGAATTAAGATATTTCCAGATCAACCAGGATGATGAAGATGCTAGTGACAATGAATCGTGATTTACCTTTTTCCTTGTTGTTGATTTGGATTAATTTCAAGATAATAAATTACTGCTTATGTTAATTGGCTGTTATAGTTTGGATTATCACTGGGAATCATTCTTAACAATGCTTAGCTTAGAAGCTGTTATATATCGATGGGATTTCTTCAATTTTCCTTTCTCGTGCAAAAATAATTGGAGACGATACTCACGTAGCATTATTCATTTTTGTCGCACCTGAGAGCAAGATAGTAATGGTAATCTTTTTCCTAGATAGATAGTCTAAAAGTTGAGGGGTGGGGAATGGAACTTGAAAGAAGAAGAATGGATTATTTTCCACCTAGCTAACACATGAATGGAAGTCATGTTTGGGGAAGTAGACTTCACTGTGTAGCATTATTCACGAAATTTTCTATACTTGGAATGTTTCTTTGCTGAATATAAATGCAAATTAACATTGAGCAATGTCGTAAGTACAGCTTTCTTACGGCGTATGTTCGATAATAGATCGTAAATTTCGTTACTGATGGGAAGTTTCGCCAAAAATGCACTCATTTCCAAGCTTTTAACAGCTTTTAACATGGTTGTTCCTGCTTAAATGAAATAATGTTGTTTTCACTGAGAGATTGGCTGGCAACTGAAAAAAAAAATTCAGTACCACACCTCAGACCAGATCTTTCGTTCTGCAAATCAAAATAATGATTTGTGTTACCTAGACGGTTCTGTTGTATAGCTCACATGTGGGGAACAAAGAGAAGAAAGTTCCGTTGATATGGTAGCCAACTTCGAGGATTTTTCGCAACAGAAATTTGTAAAAAGCATTGAACATACTGTAAATCAAATGCGGCGATGGTGTACTAACGCATCCATTATCGGTTACTAATCTCACATTGCTTTTTTCTATTTTTTTTAACTTTGCGAATTTATAACTGGGAATCCCCCTTGAATTCCTGATATCATATCAAGCAGCTCTTAGCA